ATAAGGCTTTCTGCTCCTGTAAACATTTAAAGCCTTGGAAACCTTATACAGGCTCACTGTAAATTGGAACCAACTCAAATATTCTTAACAACAACATATAAATAGCAAAACACTTGCCAATTCAACATTTTTTTGTACAATTCAGTACAATTGATTATGCTTATCTTATTGTACACCGATTACTGCTGCCCATTTCCAGATTGTTCCATTAGCATAAACAAACCCATTGCCCCCTAAACAAAACTTCTCTTTAACAGCCCCCACCCCATTCGTGGCAATCACTAATGAGCTTTAGTCTCTCTCTATGTGCCTTTCAGATGTTGTTGTAGATGCCTGAGTCAATTCTGACTCATCACGGCCTTATACACAATGAGAAGCAACACTGCCCGGTCCTGTTGTTGTTGTTGTTAAGTGCCGTCGAGTCGGTTCCGACCCATAGCGACCCTGTACAGTGTTTCCAAGGGTGTAAATCTTTACGGGAGTAGAAAGCCTCATCTTTCTCCCGTGGAGCAGCTGGTAGTTTCGAACCACTGACCTTAAGGTTCGCAGCCCGATTCGTAACCACTACGCTACCAGAGCTCCCTGCCCGGTCCTACACCCTCACAATTGTTGTTACACTTGAGCCCATTGCTGCTGCCACTGTGCCAGTCCATCTTGTTTTGGGGGTCTTTTTCTTGTTCACTGACCCTCCACTTTACTAGTCGCTCCAGGCTGGTCTGCCCGTCCTTTCAAGTGGAAATTTCCCACCTCTGAAGATTCTGGATGCTGTTCAGGATTCTACCTATGGTCTTATTAATACAGAAGCTCCACAGGAAGCCTCCTTCACTGGGCACGTTGTAGCCCCATTTTAGGTATTCCAATCAGTTATAGGCAGAAGACAGACTTAAAGTTTTTATGGTGATATTTCTGGCTATTCCTTTCTCTCCCCCTCCAGTGTCTATTTTATAATGGTATTCAAGGGAAACAAAGATTCAAAAGACAGCCAAGCATCTTAACATTATTTACCCCCTTTTCCCCATTCCAACCATGTCTCAATCCCTGTATCCCAGATCCCTGTTGTTCCAAGGTTGTGCATACATCATTCTTTACCTCTGTCCCACTTAACCCATGCAAACCTGCCTAATTGTTCTCCCATCCACTTTGTTCTTCCATTCCCCTCCCTCTTCTTGTATATTGCTCCCCTCCCCAGCACCCAAACTATCCTGTGTCTATTCCCTGCCCTGTGCTCCACCTTTTCCTCCGTCCCCTCACCCCACCCCCCATATCCCAGCAACCAGTTTAGAATTACACACACCTTCCTTTAATATGGGTTCTTTTTCTTAGTTTTTTATAGTAGTGGTCCTATGCAGTATTTCTCCTTTTGAGACTGATTAATTTCACTCAGCATAATGTCCTCAAGGTTCATCCATGTTATGCGGTGGCTTGCAGCTTCCTTGTTATTCTTCAAGGTAGCATGATATTCCTTTGTGTGTATGTACCACACAAAGTTTGTTTATCCATTCTTCAATTGATGGGCACTTAAGCTGTCTCCATCTTTTTGCTGTTGTAAACAGTGCTGCTATGAACATTGGTGTGCATATATCTTCTCGTGTTCTGGCTCGTTTTTCTTGTGGGTAAATACCAAGTAGAGGAATTGCTGGATCATAAAGGATTTCTATTTCCAACCTTCTGAGGAAACACCATATTGCTTTCCACAGAGATTGGACCATTTTGCATTGACTGCTGATTCTTGACTCTTGATTATGGATTCAAGCAAAATGAGGTCTTTGACAACTTCAGTCTTTTCTCTGTTTATCATGATGTTATTTTTACTGGTCCAGTGGTGAGGATTTTTGTTTCCATTACATTGAGATGCAACCCATACTGAAGGCTGTAATCTTTGATTTTCATCAGTAAGCATTTTAAGTCCTCGTTACTTCCAACAAGCAAGCTTGAATCATCTGCATATCACAGGTTGTTAATGAGTCTTCCTCCAATCCCAATGCCACGTTCATCTTCATCTAATCCAGTTTCCTGGATTATTTGCTCAGCGTATAGATGTTGTTACTATGTGCCGTTGAGTCTGTTCAGATTCATAGGGACCATGTATAGGGTTTCCAAGGAGCAACTGGTGGGTTTGAACTGCCAACCTTATGGTTAGCAGTCCAGTGCTTATCCTACAGTGCCACACCAGGAATTGGGCACCACCTGGTTGTTTTCTTCCTTGGTATTCTTGTTCACTGAGGAATTTCTAACACTAGATTTCAACATGTGAGCCAATAATGTTTGAAAGCAGATCTGGTTTGTCTTCCGTATAATTTAAGGACTAGATAATGTCCATGTGTATGTTGTAGGATGCCTTGTTCCAAAAATGAGTTTAAAGGGCTTGCCAGAATATGTATGGTGGTATAAGGAGCTCTGGTAGTTTAGTGGTTACGAATTGGGCTGCTAACCCCAAGGTCAGCGGTTCGAAACTACCAGCTGTTCTGCGGGAGAAAGATGAGGCTTTCTGCTCCTGTAAAGATTTACAGCCTCGGAAACCCTGTGCAGGTTCACTATTGGTCGGAATCAACTCCACAGTATTTAACAACAACAACAACAATATTCACAAAACAGGGAAATCAAGGCAAAGGGTAGAAGGAGATTGTTACTAAGTGCTGTCGAGTTGGTTCTGACTCATAGTGAGCCCTGTATAGTGTTTCTTAGGAGCAGTTAGTGGTTTTGAACCACTGACCTTGCTGTTAGCTGTCCAGTGCTTATCTTACAATGCCATAGCAGGACTCCTTTCTTACCCTGCTGTTAGTTGTATGCCGGAAGTCAGTTCCGACTCACAGTGACCACCCCGTATAGTGTTCCTGAAGCTATAAATCTTTACAGAAGCAGAAAGTCTCATCTTTCTTATGCTGAACAGCTGGTAGATTTAAACTATGACCTTGTAGTTATCTCAGCATGTAATCCACTAGGCCACCAGAAAGATTAAAGAACTCTGGTAGCGTAGTGGTTACGAGTTGGGCTACTAAGCTCAAGGTCAGCAGTTCGAAACTACCAGCAGTTCCACGGGAAAAAGATGAGGCTTTCTGCTTCCCTAAAGATTTACAGCGTGGGAAACCCTATACAGGGTCGCTATGAGTCGGGACCGGCTCAATGGCACACAGCTACCACCAGAAACATTAGGAAAATTAATTAGTACTACACAAAATGCAGCCTGTGAATTTATCTCTTTGGTCTATGAGTACGGGAAGGATTCCTGAATTTCAATGAAAACTATACTATGGATTATAATGAAAGGGAGTCAGGGGAGGGGGCGCAATGGTTAAGCACTCCACTGCTAACAGAAACACTGGTGGTTTGAACCCACCTGGCAACTCTGGGGAAAATAGACTTGGTGATCTCGCTCCCTAAAGACTGTTACTGTTGCTGTTAGGGGCCTTGGACTCGGTCTGACTTCTAGTGACCGAAGTCAGCATTGCCCGGTCCTGCGCCATCCTCAAAATCATTCATTCCTGCATTTGAGTCCTTTCCATGAAAAGTAAAACTAGGAAACCCTATGGGGCACTTGTTCTCTCTCGTGGGCTTGCTATGAGCTGAACTCAAATCTTTCGTTATAACCCAAGCATTCCTCGTTGTGCCCCAAATTCTAATTCTTGGCGTTTGTGAATTAGCGTATCTGGCAGTGTTCTCCTTGAATCTTGGCTACGTTTTGTTTTGCTTATGAGTAGTATGTTGCCCACCAATGGCTGGTCGTGGAAAATAGATGTGAAGATCAACCCAGCCCTTTTTAATTTCTTGGTGTTAAAAAAGACACATGGGTCTGGCAGAGAAAGGTGGAACCATTTAGACATTATTAAAACTATTTGTAAGAGGATGAAAGAGAAAATTCTTTTTTTTAAGTGTGATTTTTCATTATCAATGTCTTTATTACGACAGATGGTAGGGAGTTGGCCCTAAATTGTGTTTTCTACAGAAGTAATAGATTTCATACGGAATCCTGGTGTGGCAATGTAAGATAAACACTGAACTGATAACTGAAAGGTTGGTGGTTCAAGCCCACCAGCTGCTCCTTTAGATACAGGGTTGCTATGAGTTGGAACTGACTCAATAGCACTTAGCAACAACACCACAAGTGAAGGATTTCATAGAGGCATCTTGATAAGGCAAGCTTTGGAAAAATGTGTGCCATTTTGTAATGTGGACCATTCCCCCATGCTTTCATAATTAATTGTAATCATCAGCATATAGAATACTCCAGATTAAAAATTTGGTCAAGAGCTTCTTGATTATCAAGGGAGAAGAACATGAGCGGAATGTGGGATCCTATCCATAAAAGCAACAACACCAGAGATGGAGGCAGAGATGAGGACATGGAGAGAGGAGGGAGCCTCTGAGGACTCTAGATTCATGGAAAGAGAAAGGCAATGTGCTGGCGGCCAGGAGGCAGGCTTGCAGAATGTGCCTTTTGGTTGTTTAAATGATTATATATTCCTGAGCGTTTTTGTGCACATGCACACCCCCCCAAAAAAAAAGCCTGAGGGAATAGAAGCAAATACTGTTGAATGACGATGCACAGAGGAGATTGTAATCATTGCAATGAAACAATGGTGTAAAGCCGATGTTCTTCCATGTAAACTCAATTCACACACACACACACCCTCTTGATCAGACAGACTTGAACACATCATTTTCTAGAGTTAACTGAAAATAATCCAAAACATTTGAGAACATAACTGGGTAACAAGAAGGTAAATGTACAAACCAGTGGATTCCTCAGTTGCTATTCATATTATATAAATGAACAGGGAACAAAGTTGATGTTAAAAATACATTACAAAATAGTATGTAAAATGTAATTCGAAAAAGTGTTTATCATTTTAAGCCTAAAAGCTGCAGACTCTGGGAGGTCACCTCAAGCATTTTTCTTGTTGCTAAAATTTGTCATTGTTTTTTGTTGGTTTTTCATAGAAATGTGTACCAGAGAACTCAGCGATATTTCTTTCCTTTTGTCCATTCTTTGTTTTTTTTAGGGATTACTGTAGGAGTCTTGGTTCGAGAATACAGCAAGCTCTCTAACTTGGAGAAATTCTACTTTGCTTTTCCTGGAGAAATTCTCATGAGGATGCTGAAACTCATCATTCTGCCATTAATTATATCCAGCATGATCACAGGTATGTGGGAAAGCGCTGTTCTCTGGGGTTATTCAGGGGCCCTTCACATAGGTTCTTTTCTAATTATGACAGAAAAATGAAGTGTGTTGCTTTTGCCTCCCCTCCCCTCACCCCCTCTGTCTGTCTGCCTGTCTCTCTCCCCCACTGCTTTCTCCCTCTCTCCTTCTCTCTCTTCCTTCCCTTAAGTGTCCTTTCCTCTCTCTCTCTCTCTCTCTCTCTCTCTGTCTCTCTGTCCCTCCTTCTTCCCCTCCCTTTAGCTCTCCATCTGTTTCTTACACACACACGCACACACACACACACACACGCACACACGTGCGCACTTGGAAAGTGTATTTTTTGGGGTAGAAAGATTTAATTTCTCACAAAGTGCCATTGTGTGGCTGTGCCTCTAGCCCTGTCCACCACAGCTCAAGTCTCAATTTGATCAGCCCCTTGAGGTCTTGTGAGGAAGATGCTAATCTCAAACGTCTTAGAAGGAAAACTCTATCCAGAGCCCAAAGGCAGAAGGGGGCATACTTATAGGCCAGTGACATGTTCTACAGTGTCCTCAGCCAAAATGTGGTGTCAGTTTTGATCTGATTTTCATGTCAGTTTTTGGGGTCCCACCCATGGCCATGATGTGCCCAGACTCCCCAGCATCTGCCCTCAGGGTCCTGTATGCCTTCACATCTCCACAGAGCCTGGACCTTGCTGAGCACAAGGACTAGAAGACAAGTTCAGTAGGTTCAACTACAGGTTTGAGCCAGATTAGAAAAATCCAGTATTTTTCATCTGAACTTGTCACACCTTTGAATTTGGCAATGAGTTTTCCTTTGTTGGTTATTCAAAGCTTCCTTTCTGAAGCAGGCTCCCTTGGGTAGATAGACATTCCTTTGGTTTGCAAAACTGTCATTTGAGTTTTACATAGAATGGGTGCATGTTGTAGTTTCTTACACTTAATTCTGGTCATTGGTAAAAGGTGGCAGCTTAGTCATTCGTCTTGTCAGCTTGGATGTCACAGGCCCAGGCAGTGTTTCATGCTGTTGTGGGTAGGGTCACTGTGACTCAGAACAACTTGAGGACCCAACAACAACACAGAGCAACAAGTGTGAGGATGAAACAGAACCTGGCAGTGCTTTGTTCTGTTATATAGAGGGTCACTGGGTCGAACCAACTCGACAGCACCTAACAATAACAACAGCAGCCATCTTTATGGAAGCAGATTGTCACATCTTGGTCCTCGGGAGTGCAGCCTGTCAGTTTGCAGCACAACTCTTAACCACGGTACCAGTTGGACTTCCCAGCTGTGCACATGTTGTTGTTAAGTGCCTTTGAGTAGGGTCCAACTCATAGTGAAACTGTATAGGATTTTCAGGGAGTCCTGGTGTGGCGCTGTGGTTTAATACAGCAAACTGCAAAGTCATTTGAACTGCAAGGTCAGTGGTTCAAGCTCACCAGCTGTTCCTTGGAAACCCTATACAGGGTCGCTATGGGTCGGAATCTACTCAACACTTAACAACAAGTGTTGGGTTTGAACTTTTGACATTATAGTTAGCAGTCCCGTGCTTATCCTGTAGAGCCACACCAGGACTCTAAACATGCAGCTGTTTTTGTTAAGTGCTGTCAAGTTGGTTCCAACTCATAGTGACCCTGTATAGGGTTTTCTAAGGAGCAGTTGGTGGGTTGGAACCACCAACCTTGTGGTTCACATTCCAGTGTTTATGCTACAGGGCCACACCAGGACTCCAGCCATGCAATTAGAAGTCTTGAAATGACTCACCTTGCAACATTTCCCTCCACTCCCACTGAGGAGACCTGGGCTGATCTGGGGGGAGGGAGACGGGATATCACAGGGTCCTAAGTTCAGTCACCTCACATCAGGAAACAGTGCAGCGTCTGTTTGGCTGTTGATCTTCCCAAGTACCAAACTCAGTCAGACTAGAACGCCTTATGGAGCATCACGCATAAATGGTCTTGTTAGAACCTAGAAAGAGCATTTCATTGTTTTTATTTAGGGATATAATTAGCCTCTTTTAGGGATACAATTAACATTTTATAGGCCTCGCAGTTTGAGGATCAAATCATAGGACCAATTGTTTGTCCCGCAGAGTGTTTAGTTAAGGAACCTTGACAATCCCTATGTGGTTCTGAAGGATAAGCACTAGACTGCTAACCGCAGGGTCAGCAGTTCAAACCCATCAGCCGCTCTGCAGAACAAAGATGAGGCTTTCTGTTCCCATAAAGATTGAATGCCTCAGAAACCCTTTACAGGGTCACTGTGAGTCAGGGTTGACTCTATGGCAGTGGATGGGGGTTGGAATGACCCAATGTGTAAGAAACCAAAAGGTTGACAGATTGAACCTGTCAGTGGGAGAAAGACCTGGAAGCCTGCTCCCATAATGATCAGACCCCCTCTGGGGGTCACCATGAGCCTGAGCCAACTCAGTGGTGCACCGCACAAACAAGTCTTTCCTTATTTGTTTAATTTTAAAATATTGTCTTTAAAATCTGGAAGCTATTATGGGAAGGAGTCCTGGTGTGGCGCTGTGGGTTAATGCACAAACCATTTGAATTGCAAGGTCAGCGGTTCAAGCTCACCAGCTGCTCCTCGGTAATGCTATATACAGTCGCTATGGGTCAGAATCAACTCAACAGCATTTCATAACAACAACAACAATTATGGAAAAATCCAGATTCCTGGCTTCCTCTGGAAGGGGGGGGGTAGGATCTAGAAACAATGAGACGGATTCCTTCATGGCAACAGTGATCTGAAGCTGAGAGACAGTGATTCCTTTAACTGGAGCAAATGTATCTAAGGCTGCCACAGTCCCCACCATGCCCTACTGCCTCACACCTGGTCCACTCATTTCATATTACCTGCTCGGTGGCTGCTGGAGTTAAGACGGTTACTGCTGACTAGAATTTTCTCCATATCAGAGAGTCTTAATTACTTCTTCGGCTCTTTTATGCACTCAATGAAAACTTTACTCGCTTTCCCAAGGAAAATGCTCACACATGTATATAGATAAAGTATCTGGCAAGTTGTTGCACAAACCCCCTGGTAAGTAACACTATTCGATTCTCATATCTGAAGTGTGGAAGGTTGATCCACACTTGCTGTTAAATGCTGCTGAGTCGGTTCTGACTCATAGCGTTTCCAAGGAGCAGCTAGTAGGCTTGAACCACTGACCTTGAGGTTAGCAGTCTAGTGCTTACCCTACAGTGCCATACCAGGACTTCTAATCTATATTTGTTGCCATTGTTAATGGCTGTCAAGTCGGTTCCAACGATAGCAACCCTATATAGGGTTTCTGAGGAGCAACTGGGGGATTTGAATCAATAATCTTGTGGTTAGCAGTCCAGTGCTTATTCTATAGTGGCACACCAAGACTCCTGATCTACATTTGTTGTTGTTATGTGCCATCGCGTCGGTTCTGACTCATAGCGATCCTGTATAGGGGTTCCAAGAAGCAGCTGGTGGGTTTGAACTGCTGACCTTGTGGTCCATAGGCTGGTGCTAATCCTACAGTACCAAGCTAGGAAGATCTGCGTTTTGTCAGCAAAAACCACCGTGTAGTAAACCAGGTGTACATATTCTGAACATATTCGTTCTATAGTGATGGGTGCTTATGAAGGTGTGCCATTCTTGGCCATCGATGACTAGAGAAATTTTTTTTTTTGCAATCTGGCTGTCTTGTGTGTTGCTCAGCCTTGCGTAAAATCTGGGAAAATCATTTACAACCATCAGCATTCCACTCAAAGAGCGCAGCTGCTTTCCGAAGCCATGGCAGAGGTTTGGCCATGTCTGCATTTCCCCAGCAGTTGGGCAGGAGCTAGGGAGAGGGAGAGTCACTGCCCATTCTTTAGACATGGAGCAGTGAAAGCTGTCAGAGATTCAAGGGCTATGAACAGAGCGGGATGGAACCAGTGAGGCTGCCACGGTTGTTATTGGATCCTGTCAAGTCAATTCCAACACAAGCAACGCCATGTGAGACGCATGTGAGCTACCCTTCAGATTGCCTAAGCTGTCATCTTTACGGAGGGCTCCTGGTGTGGCGCTGTAGGATCAGCACTGGACTGTGAACCACAAGGTCAGCAGTTTAAATCCCCCAGCTACCCCTGGGAAACCCTATACAGGGTCACTATGAGTCAGAACCATACTTGACAAGAACATTATTTGTGGAAGCATATCTCCTGGACTTTTCCTCGTAGGCCACTTGGACAAGTTCTAACCACCAGCATTTTGGTTAGTAGTTGAATGCTTAACCATTGTATCATCAGAATATTCATATTTAAGTTGTCAAAAGAAAAAGTAACAACTTCCAGTGTTGGCAAGGTTGGGAGAAAATGGGCACGTGCCTACATTTTTAGGTACTTTATATATAACTAGGAGTCCTGCTATGGTGCCACAGAATCAGCTCTGGACCGCAAGGTCGGTTTGAAACACAAGATTGGCGGTTCAAACTCACCAGTTGTTATTGTTGTTATGTGCCGTGGAGTCGGTTCCGACTCATAGTAACCCTGTACAGGGTTTCCGAGGCCGTAAATCTTTACGGGAGCAGAAAGCCTCATTTTTCTCCCATGGAACAGCTGGTAGTTTCAAACTGCTGACCTTGCGGTTCTCAGCCCGATTTGTAACCACTACGCTACAAACCCAAATAGGCTTGGTATGAGTCAGAACTGATTCGACGGCACTTAACAACAATTTATAAATAGGATCAAACTTTCAGAGCCAGTTTAGAACATGTTCAGAACCATCTGCCTGGAACCAGATGTTATACAAATGCTACACACACACGCAACCCTCTCACGCTGGAATTTTCCTGTGCACTCTATGTGTTTATAGTCATGTACATGTAATATGTGAAAACACAGTAGTTCTACTTTGGGGATTTATTGGAAATGGAAAGTCAGAGATATATGCAATGATAGGTACAAGAACGTTCATGGTAGCATGTTGTACCAATGCGCTTGATCAGAAGTAGCCTGAAGGTTAGTCATCTGAACCTACCCAGAGGCAC